TATGCAAAAGAAGTGCAGCAACGCATTGATGAATATGAGGAAACAATTAAGTCTCCAAACTCTGACAAAATAACCATGCTGCGAAACACCAAGGAAGCTGTGACTGTATTGCTTACCCGAAAAGTACTTCCAGACCGTGAAACATCAGCAGCTGGTGGTTCTACTAAATGTGAAATTACAGACGAAATAGATTTAGCATTAAATGGGTGAGAAGTTTTCTTTTTAAAACATAATTCTAATTGCAATGCACCTTTGGGTACTAATTAATTTACTAGAGTTTTCTCGTATATTTGAATTTATTACAGTTACAACGACACAAAGAACGATGTCGGATATGTAAAAAGTAAAACCATCGACGCAAAGGATATAAATAAAATTGCATTTTTACGCAAATCAATTGGCTAAATTACCAACCACAACGATCACGTTTTTTTAACAAATGCGAAGTCGTTAGATAGTTCTATTTCGCAAATGCTAGATTGAGGTGAGGCATTTATTTCCGTAGCTGATTTCCTGCTATGTTGATACATTGGCGTCTTCAATATTCTATCTGTTACCTTTTCAGAATGAAAGACAGCGGTGTTTTGGCGTTTGGATTGTTTGCGGACCGCTTTGTAGTCTTTCTTGACGAGAAAGGCAATGAGCAAGTTCAACAAGTTACCTATCGAGAGATTAAGAAACTTTGCGACGAACGAGGCAACTTCAATATACCTGTTGACGTGGTAGCAGTTTCCCAAAACTTCTTGACAGACACGGGTTTAGAACAAGGCCATATACTGAAATCGTATACACAGTGGGGGTCTGTTGGTATGGTAACAGAAGCAACCAAACCAATCATCAAAGAGACAACCAAAGAACCTGACGGACCGACCACTTCAAATTCAGAACAGGAATCTCACAAAAACATTGAAGTGGCGATTACTGTGGGTCATCTCTTTACACAAAACGCTGACGCGTTTTTCTTTAAAAAAGGAGAAATGAAGAAATTCGGGAAATGTCTCACAAGTCTTCACCGTACAGGAAACACTACGACCATGCACTATGACATCGCCGTGATAGAACTCGACGAGAACATGAGAACCAGCGAAGATTGCGATCTTAAATTCAAAAATGAAACTGGTGAATCGTGTGACTGTGTTGTGTTTGATGGCATTCTTGCTTCTGGTACCGTAATGTACAAAAAAGGTGCTGCAACCGGAATGAGTGAAGGAGTTGTGGTCAGCCAAGATTTTCGACTTGTTGGACTTGTCGATACGCAGAAAGCATACTTGATCAAAGGTCGAGATGATCGTGCTTTCTCTGCGGATGGAGATAGCGGCTCTATTGTGTTTACATTAGATTTCCATGACGAGGAAAATAAAACTGCTAATTTGGTATCGATTGTTTCGAAAATGTTTTCAGAGGATGCCGCCAGAAAGCTTGGGTTCCACGTACCTCTTTCTTACACCGTCCGCCTTGACAAGTGTCTTGAAAAACTAACAGAGTGCACTGGTGTGACCGTGTATATGCCTAAAAAGTAATTTAGTTTACTACCTCATACTTATAAATGTATATATTTACATCATTATTACTTAAGATTTGGTCATGTTTATTCAGTTCTCTGTGATAATTCCTAGTGTATTTTGAATCATTTATTATGATTTTAGAATAAGTTTTCCTTAATGTTCCGTATATTTCCGTAATGTCAATGCAGTATTTCATGAATTATTCAAAATCGTTTATGACGTGTGTTATTTTGTATTGGGGCTGCTGCTTCCACCTTGAATACATATTTGTGTTTCTTACTACTTTTACAAGAATACTAGCACGATATAGCATTTGTTTTAGCTTGTGTTATAAGGTATTTGAACATTTATTGATTATGTGTCTAGTCCTCCTCTGAAAACTTGTACCTTTCCTATTAGTTTTATTGTTGTTTACTGAGTGTCAAAATGGAAAAACAAATCAAATTAGTACATTTGTTTATTTTTCTTATTTGTTCGTCACTTTGATATCTCGTTTTACATGCAGAATTTAATAAAATATTTCAAGCTGTTAAAAATCGTATATGGCGCGTGATATTTCTGCATTGTATTGTTGTTAATGCTTCCTGCTTCAGATATAAAGACTTTAAAAAAA